GTCTGGAGAGGTGACTAGCAACACCCCCAGACCAGTGAGTGTGAGCACAACACTATTGAAGCAACCTGAATGAACCTGAATGCGACCTGCCCACATTTTTCTTTTTTTTTTCGCAGCGTATCAAGGAGGGCAGTGTGGTGGACAGGGTGAAGGTGATCTGCGTGGGCGACCACATCGAGTGCATCAACGGGCGCAACATCGTGGGCAGCCGGCACTACGAGGTGGCGCGCATGCTGAAGGAGCTGCCGCGAGACCAGACCTTCACCCTCAAGCTGGTGGAGCCCATGAAGGCCTTCGGTGAGTGCAGCCGCGGCCCGGCGGGCGACGGGACGTCCCGAAAAAAACACACGGAGCTCCGCTTCCCGGAACTCTGCGTTCCACTCCTGCTGAAAAACAAAAATTTTAAAAAAAATCCTTAGTGAAGACCCTTCTCCGTATCCAACGCTGAATATTCATGAGCTGGCAGGCCTCGGAGGTGTTTTGATTCTGAGTGATTGCCGATTACATTGGTTCGAAACATCGGCGGTGATTAGAATCAGCGCCAAAAGCAAAGTCTCGCAGCTCGTGAATATTCATAAGCACCTGCCTTTGTCAGGAAACTTCAGGTTCAGCAATGCGGGGACGGAACTTTTAATGTAAGGGTAACGTGCCGGGAGCCAGGCAACTGGCAGGCGGCTTTGAGCTTCTAGCAGCGAGAGCAAGACGTAACGCGCGTAAGTAAAAGGTTTCTGATTCACGGCTCCGTGGAAGACCCGTCTGTGGCTGTGAAAGGAATCCCTGCACACACAGACACTGTTTCTGTGCACAGCAGTGTGTGTAAGGAGCCCGTTACTGTCACACACACAAGAGCAATTGAGAGTCAGCGGGCTGCCAGGGCCTGGATGTGCCAGTCATTCTCGCTTGAGCAAATTCATTTGTGTACCTTGTATATCTGTGAGGCTTTCTCATGTATGTCATTTGTTTACAGGATATGTAAAATGCATGAAACCCTTGCCGTTTGTGGGTTAGCAGTTTGCGGTTTTAAATGTTCATGCCAGGCAGGAAGTTGTTCTTGGCTTTGCTGTCTGGTCCTGGTTATGGAGCGCCACTGCAACCGATGCTGTGTTACATGTATTTGAAATATCGCACGTGTTTATAGCATTATTATGTTAGTAGTCATCACTCATTTATTAGGTTATTTCATTGTCTGTATTTTGAAACGGTGGTTGTTTTGTTTTGGGACCAAATCCCCTTTGCACAAACATCTTTATCATTAGTGCATTATTGACCAATTGTGCCCTCTGTGGGGATTTCCAGAATGGAAGATAAAAAATCTAGAATGTAATGTTTGTGCAGAATTAGCCAAATGTTTAATCTAGTTTGTAATTTGTGAGTATGCACAGTCAAGACATGGGTAACCGCCAGTAATCGCTGGAGCTGGCAGCGGTGAGGGTTCAACTTTTGGCCATGGTGCTTTCAGCACATGGGTCCTCTTGAACCCTATAATGGGAGGAGCTACCATCAATGACCCCCAGTGACAAAAAGATTAGTCATAGAGAGCAAAGTTCTTTTATTGGTTCAATTTAGACAATATCATGACTGCTCCACTCTTGAAGTGGTTCATGGAATTTGAATGGATAACACCCCTGGTTAATGCATGTATGAATGTTTGTGTGTGTGTGTGTGTGTTTGTGTGTGTGTGTGTGTGCGCGCGCACGCATCATAAAAACCCTTCGCTTACCCCTTACTGTTTGCCAGCCAGACACCCTCATCTTGTCATCAGACACGTTGTGTTTTTCCAGGCTGTTTGTGAAAAGGCTGTGCATTCACATGTGTCCCACAGATGGTGCAGAATTCAAGTGTCTAAAGGAGATTCACTCCAACCCATTCATCAGTCCTCAGCGACTGTCGGACATCCACATGCCTCTGGTAACAGCTGGGATTTAACTAAAGGAGTCACATGAGGTGCAACTCTCAAAACATACTCACTGTGTCTGCTCCGGTCCTCTCCTTCTCTGGCCTGTTCACTGGGGATTTCACAGCTGATACAGTGAAACTGAAGAAGTGTAGTGTTTGCATTATCAGAAGTGAGTGAAGTATCTCTGTAACGCCCTGTAATTTTATAAAGAAGCAGTGTTTCATTTATGCTCTTTCTTCAGTGTATAAGTTCACCATACTTCTACCTCACATTACTGTGCTGTTTTGGAAGCCACATCTCCCAGTATGACAGCGTGATTCTTTTAAATTAAAACCCTTGTCTTGTCATTCTCACTTGGTCAACCTGTCAGATTTCCTTTAAGTGTTTTTTTTCTTGGTACAGATGCCTTCAGGTTTTGTTCCAGTTCTGATAATTTAACGTGCAGCTTTTTGGCTCCGAGGTGGAATCTTTGCACTCTGTACTTATATGTCACGTACCTAGTCAGTGTAAATGAACAGACAAAACTTTCCTGTCTGCAGAAAAACTTGCAGTTAAGCCAGAGGCTGTGCATCATAGTTAAGCCATATTGTAGCGGCCTGGCAAGTTTCCTTTCTGCGAAACCTGTAGCAATGCCAGAGGTAGCCATATTTCAGAGGCCTCTGAAAGAGATATATCCCTGACTAACAGTGACGTTAGAGGGGAAAGATGAGCAAGATGTGAGTGTTGTTGAGAATGAGGGGCTTTTCTGATATGTCCTCATTCTGTGTTAGTCTTCTGTCCTGTTCTGTCACTAAGACCGAACACAGTCTTCCTAGAAGGTCTCATAAAACTGTTTCTGTGCATCCAGTCTAAACCGGTAGCAGAATTTTCATCATTCAATGTCTAAGATGGCTCTACCTGGTTCAGCCAAGAGTAAAAAATACACTATAGGCTGGCAGGAATAGCAGGTCCATCTCTGGTTTGTAGAGTGAATGAGTGACCCACTGCTCATGGGGTGGGATTGGTTTATAGGTACTGGGCCCCCACCTTCCAGCTTTTTAATGCATTGTCCCCTTTTATGAAGCCCATTTTGGGAATCGCCAGTTGAGCATTAGACTCATCTTAAAGGGACACCCTCTGCACTTGCAGGAGCACCGAGGTGAGACGAACACAGTCCCCCAATATAGTCACATGCATTTTTTGCAATACACATCACACTATCGTGGGGGGCTGCAGTGTAGCATAGTGGTTAAGAAGCAGGACTCAAGGTACTTAACCCAGAATTCCTCAATAACTGTCCAGCTGTATAAATGGATAGTTTGTACAATGTACAGTTGTAAAAAGTGCAAGTAAAAATATACAATTTACTTTGTAAAAAAAACCTGTAATTGATGTAAGTCACTCTGGATAAGAGCGTCTGCTAAATGCCAATAATGTAATGTAATGTAGCTGTTTATTGGAGGACAGGCACTCCTCCACTGATGTCATCTGAGCAACCCTGACACCTCAGAGCAGGAAGATGAGGAAGCCCTGCCTGACCCACCCTTATCCTATGGGACCATGGGTTGCTGGTCACTGTCACCAAATGACACACCCCGTTTCGAACCTGAGCCACGGGATCGAGCCTGAGACGCTTTAGCCACTTGGAACCCCTTCCGATTTTCTATCTTAAAGCACACGGCTACCTTCAGCTTGTGGGGAATGTAAGGGCTGTGAGGGCATTAGCTTGCTGCACCAGCCAGCGAAACCTGGCTGACTCACACACCCCCTGCCCCGGCAAAGCAGAGCCGATCTGTCCCGCTGCCGTGGGCTGCCCGGCATCATCGCCTGATGCCTGGAACAAGTGCCTTAACTGTCTGTGCTGGACATGAACCACTTCTGTCTGAAAGCGGTCATTAGTTTTTTTTTTTTTTCCCTGACATTCTATTTCCCCCTTGTCAAGAGAGCAATCCGTTTTAAAAATGTGTCTGTTGTTGTCATGCTGACTTGAAAGATAACCAGAGGTGGAGTCGTCCTCTCTCAGGTATCGGAGAATATAACCAAAAGATGAGAGGTGTGTTAATGTTTTTGGTTGGTCGTTTCCACCTGGTGCGTGTCATAGCTCCGATTAATTCTGGCTGCAGTCCTAAGTGAGGGTTTTTCCTATGAATGATCCTGCTGAGGTATTAATTATGAAGGCACTTACTCTCTGTTTGGCCTTCCAGGAAGGAAAATGATATTCAAATCAATTAACTTCCAATAAGTGCTTTAGTCTATGGATGCCTGGCAGGTTAAGCCAGCCCTCTTGGTCGCTCTGAATTACTTGACCTCGCAGTGAAATGGCCGGATGTAAGTGTTTGAAAGGGAACACATAATGAAGTAGAACTGGGGGGGCTGACTGGGGCGGTAATCGAGCTCAAAAATACAGGCCTGTTGCAATGAGGAGAACAACAGTAACCTGCAAATAGAGGGTATTACAGGCCCACCTGTGAGGATTTCTCACTCTCCTAATGGCCCCATCTTTCAGAGAGTGCTGGTACCACTCTTACGCTGCCTGACCTCCTAGTGCATTACCCCGCCGGAGTCTTGGTCGCAGTGTCCCCGTAAAGAAAACTCTTATCTCGTGGCCATTAGCTGCCGGAGAGGCGGGCTGGTTTTGTGTTTAGCGCCCTGAGGTGACAAAATGTAAGTAATTATTCCCCTGCATTTTGTCATGGTCCAAGTCATCTGAATCCACACTCTGCCAGTTAAAGGCCTTAAGCCAGCCTTACTTTTGGCCTAGTTGTGGTCAAAATGCAATTCCCTTTGTCTTTAACTTTTGAGTAGCAAATTTAGCAAATTTAAGCATTTAACATATTTAATTCTAACACGGTAGTTTTATTTCAGTGGCATAAGAACTTATGACTTGTTAAAGAAACACCCATAGCAGTTTTATATAATTTATATCTCTCATATTGGGAATCTAATTCCTCTGTTGCTTTGAGGAAAATAAGGGAATTGTCAGTCATTATGAATCTGATGAAAGCTGATCTCTTTGTTCTGAGATTCATTTGATATTTTCTGATGATGGATGGTGGCCAATCTACATCGTAGATTTTCTGTCCATGTGAATCTTCATGGGTCCTATTTGGAGCCTGAGTGAAGTGGCAGTATAGTATAGTGGTAAGGAGCAGAGCTTGTAACTGAAAGGTTGCTGGTTCAATTCTCTGCTGCTGCTGTACCCTTGGGTGAGGTACTTAACCCACAATTACCTTAGTAAGTATCCAACCATATGGATAAATAACATGTAAAAATTGTGACCTGTGTGAAGCGCTCTGGATAAGAGCACCTGCTAAATGACAATAATGTAATGTAATGTCTTTGGATTGACAGAAATGCTTGAGCCGAGGTCAAAGGGCACAAAGCCGGCTGGGGAGAACAAGATTGGCACGGGCAGAGGGACCCTGAGGCTTCGGTCGAAAGGTCCCGCCACCGTGGAGGAAATGGTGAGCCCGTTCATCTGCAGAACCTCCCAATTCACACCGTCATTTTCTCATGGGGGGTCACCGCTACCTCGTGGGCGAAACTAAGTTATGCCCGCGATTACCTGGAAAACATGAATATGAGCATCCAGTCCCAGTGGGATAAAATGAAACGAAAATGGCTTATATCATTTGAAATGGGTGGTTGTAAAAGAAAAAAGAAAAAATGTGCTTCTTTTGCTGGGAAGGGTATTGTTAGACCCTGTTTTTTCATGCGTGGCTGCTAAGCCAAAAAGAAGTCTAATTAGGTGTATTGTTAGGAACATGGAGAAAATCTAAGCATTACTCACTGCTGAGACAAGTTAATTCTATTCCCGCACAGACTGAGCTGTATAAGAATCAGCTAAACTAATGCAATTATTTTTTTAAAAAGTCTGAGCCCTTTGTTGAGGTAACATGATGTGGCAGAAAGAAGGTACACATTGACTTGGTGTTTTTTTTTTTCCTGTGGGGACATTTGTAATATGTCATGCTTTAATCTTTTTAAAACTGATTTTTTTTGTCCCCAGCCAACCGAGTTCGAAGAAAAAGCCGTCAAGAAGGTGGACGACCTTTTGGAGAGCTACATGGGAATCCGAGACACTGAGCTGGGTGGGTAAAGGCCAGCAAATGCAAGTGATTTGCAAAGTTACATGATTTGGGCCAGTGCCAACGTTCATGAAATCACACAACCTGACCATTATCATCATCTGTGAATTTACATTACATTATAGTCATTTAGCAGATGCTCTTATCCAGAGCGACTTACTTAGCTCACAATTTTTGTATGTGGATATTACATCTGGATATTTACTGAGGCAATTCTGGGTTAGGTACTTTGCCCAAGGGTACAGCAGCAGTGTGCCAGCAGGGAATTGAACCAGTAACTTGCTAAACTGCTGCCCAGTTCAGTATGAATATTTTACCATTGTAATGTCTGGATAATGAACGTGTGACCTACAAGTGACCTGAAGAAACGCTTTAGAAGATAGATGCCAGTTAATAGATGCCGGTAGTTCGTTGCCCGCAACTCCATGCTGCACTCCGCTGGAATGACCTTCCCTCCTCAAAGCGGCCCTCCCCCTAGTAATGCCACGCCCCTTCTTGTTTACCACGCCCCCTTTCTGTGTAAAAGCCTCACCTCTCCATCCCCTCTCCCAGCTGCCACCATGGTGGAGGTGGGGAAGGACAAGAAGAACCCAGACGAGTTCGCCATGGCGCTAGACGAAGCCCTCGGCGACTTCGCCTTCCCCGACGAGTTCGTCTTCGACGTCTGGGGAGCCATCGGAGATGCCAAGCAGGGGCGTTTCTGAGCCGGGGACAGACATACCCGTGATCAGGAGAAATGGACAGAAAGCAGTGCTTTGGGATTGTTTTTTTTTTTTTGTATCACACACTTTTTAGTGTTAGTCCTGCAATATCACAAAGGCACAAATGTTTTCATTTTTTATCCCGTGCATTTTGTTTTTGGCACTGTGTTGTTACCGGTACTTGCTGGTCATGAAGGGTACTGTTCTCTTACGTATACTCACTGTATTCTGTTTTTTTTAATTCCTTAAATGAACTGGATGTAGTGGGCACATACCTTCAGGAAGCTCTCACTGTATTAACATAAATCAAAAGACTGAACTCATGAAGACCCAGACACATATTTAATCATTTCGCAGCAGGAAATGACGGCCAGTCCCTACCATGCAGTGCCTATAAAGAGTCGTTCATTGTTCCTCTCTCAGATAGAAAGCTCTCTGTTCTTTCATTATGTGATGTTAACATCCTTGTTTTCATTTGGGGTTGCTATTACAACTGCATGGAGTCCTTCTTGTAACCTAAATTTAAGTCTTTCCTGTCATGCCAAGCATGACTGACTATGCAGGAGAAAGGGGAGAAATGGAAAGACATCAAAGTAAATCCACTGTCCTGCAGCTTTTCTTCATTTGCTGGGTGCTGTGGTGGCTTTTTGAAGCCTGTGGAACAATATTGTGAAATATTCCAGAGCATTCCTCCAGCAGTATGGGTTTTTTACTGTCTGTATCAGTAGAACACTGGTTATTCTCATATGTAATTCTGTGTCTCGTTGACTTTTTTTTTATGGGTACAATAGCTAGTGAGAGGTAATGGCACATTTATGATTTTAACTAACATTCCTTTTATTTTTTTATTTTAAATTCATCTTGTACAGGTTCCTTATATAGAAGTATGCCAGGATAGACAAATTCTTATTTTTTGCTCTCTTAATTTATTTGTTTGATAAATGGCTATTTGATGTTTTAAACAGGAAAATATTTTTATGATGTCAAGCTCTATATTTAGAATGAATAAAGTTTATCAATCATGACTTTACATTCCTTCATTTAGTAGGCTGACTGGCTGGGATATGACTCCAAACAGGGTTGGTGTGATGTCACAAGAGAATCTTCCTTGGTCAGATCCGGTCATTCATGTGTCCAGGGTAACACTGAAATTCCAGGCGAAAGCAATCAGTACTCCCATTGAGGTGCCACCTGTTGGTTCACTCCTACAGGTGAATGCAGTGAATTGCTTTAGAACCTCTGATGTCCCATTCTGTTACTGTTCAAGTTATGGCACATTACACGTTGTATTTAACAATGCATAAGGGATTATTGTTTATTAAAAATGAGAACTAAAATGAAAAACATGAGACAAAGGTGTTGTGCTTTGCTAAACTTAAAGATTTTCCAATTCCATAGGCTGGAGTTGAGGAAAATGGGTTTGAGAATTTTGAAGTTTAAAAAAATGCAGTTGGGCTTCAAATTGAAATCGATCTAGAGGAGGAAACCTAACTGTGTGTATGGTTTTGTGTGTGTGTGTGTGTGTGTGTGTGTGTGTGTGTGTGTGTGTGTGTGTGTCTTGATCTTCAATATCAAAAATCTATTCTGTTTGAAGAATGTGTCATGCCGGTTTCTCCACAGGAAGTCAAACCATCTGCTAATGCACAATATCATTTACATTTCAACAGAAAATTACTAATGAGCTGTTTTCACTTGCTGTCAATCACATGTGAAAAAATTATAATTAACATATATTCTGTACAAACAGCAAATTAAAAACCGTTGTTATTGCACATGTTTTGTAGCGTATTTAAATTGCTTTATGTATGCTTGTTTTAATGAAATGCCAGAAAACCTACTTACATACAGTATATTTACTCTTTGGCCAAACAAGATATATGCTTTTCTTAGGACTGGGGAACAGACACATCATACACACACACTCACTCACATACACACACACACACACCCACACACCCACACACATACTTTCTGTTTTGTTCTTGCATTTAGATGCGCTGCTGACATCTTCCCACAGCTGGAGACAGCCTCCTTTTCAGGTAAGCTTAAGAACTGCTTACCTAAAGAGGAAAGACGCACAAACCTGTGGGGCTAAAACTCGAACTGGACAGAAACAGTGGTACTGAACTCAGATCAGTCTGAAGTGTGGGAATTGCTCCTTTTTTTATGTCGCGAGACTGGTAGACAGCATTTTGTTTGGGTCTGTGCTGTTTGTGTTCGCTGGATCCCTAAACAGGACCCAGATCACCTGTTCTCTGGCAGTTCCTCGAAGCGGACTTGGGATTTGGCTTCTCTGTTTCCTGCCAGGGCTGAGTATAGCATTTTGTGATCCTGTCTTTTATCTTCCCCTTCCTCAATGGACATCAAGCAGGGAGTTGTTGACCCTGTGCCATCGTTTTAAATTTGGAAACTAAACATTGAAAGACCCAGCACCATAGCTCTGGTGGCTATGCCAGCCTAGAACACGAGCTGACCCAACAGGAGATCCTGAGAGCGGGTGAGTTCGCCTGTGCTGAGCTGCTTTGGGAGGTCTGCCTTGGGCCACTTTTGTGGTTTGTTTTCTGTGTGAGTGTAAGAAAACAACCACATTCAAGTTTGGCTGGCTTTTCCCTTTGCAACTGTGTATAACTGGTTTGTTTTCTAGCCAAAGGAAACTTGCTTGTAACACTTCGTTGCGGGTCAGGGCATGTTTCACCCCAGGCGCTTCAGACTTTTTCCTAGGAAGTCTGGAAGTAATTCCATATCACAGTCTCCAAAAACAGGTTTATCATCATAAATTAACAGTAAAGCAATGCTTTTTATATGACCAATGGAGCATGCTATTAATAGATTAATTTGGGGGTTTTACTTGGATAACAAAGAATTACTGTTAGTTTCAAAGGAAAACGCTTAAATAAACGGTTAGTGGGTTAATGTGTGATATGCTAAACTGTTGTATCTCCATGTATATGTCTAAATATAATTAATATTTGCTGAAAATCAAAGCAAAATATGATTAAAGGTATCTTTGTACTATCCTTCAAATACAGCACAAAGCTTTGAAATATCACCCAGTGCATTTTATTTGAAGTGCATTGAAAAAAAGAGCAGCCCACTTTTTTCTTCTGTTTCATAAACTGTCTCGTGCGGCTTTGAGGTGAATGAGACCCCAGATTTCGACGACACAGAAAATGTAGCACAACAGATAACAAATCCATATTATGCATAGCCATAGCCTGAACTCGGGGACACTTTATCTATTGCTCTTTGTGCAATAGCTGTATATAACTAATGGTTGTACAGATTCACAGCCTGTGCTCATGTATACTTTAACTCATGTTCATTGTGCAATAGCTGTTCATATATACCTCATTCATTCCATCCTCATTCCATGTATGTGTCCTGCACTACTGTTGTTTGGTATTTATTGTTTTCACTTTGACGTTGTATGAAAGCACTATGAGAGTCACTGGAACCTGAGTCAAATTCCTTGTATGTGTCGAAGCATGCCTGGGGAAAAAAGTCTGATTCTGATAAAATGTACCTTTCCTGCCAACAGCACTAAAGCTTAGCCAGGTGTAGGATGGGGGTGGGTGCTGGCAACACGTGGTTGTGACTATTCATTGCATGGTCATATTTTGGAGACAGCTCAGTAGACATGTTTTGGGTGGCAGTGTAGCATAGTGGTTAAGGAGTAGGACTCGTGACCAAAAGGCTGCCGGTTTGATTCCCTGCTGGGGCGCTGCTGTACCCTTGGGCAAGGTACTTAACCTCCAATTGCCTCAGTAAAATATCCAGCTGCATACATAGATAACATTGTAACTGATGTGAGTCACTCTGGGTAAGAGTGTCTGCTAAATGCCAACAATGTAATGTAATGTTTACCCTCGCATTTGTTCCACAAAAAGTCCAGTGCAGTGTTTACCCCAAACATTTGACTGGGGGCACTTGATTTATGATAACACTGGCTGTTGGAATATACCTGTGGCCGCAAAGATGACGCCTGCCTTGTCCTTCTACTCGACACCACCCTATTGCTCTAGAATGCTGTGTGGTCGATTGCAGGCATTTCTCACTTGGTTGTCAGTAATGTCCCATGTGAAGTCACAGCAGCTGAATGCATGTGTATCCATGAGCACAGTATAACTTATGTCATCTGTCAGGGGGGTCCACTCACTAGCCATAGAGGTCCACTGCAATTTCAGCTGTACTTTTATGAATATGCACATTAACTGTTCTGGATCAGATCACCACTCCTTGATCCTCACCACTAAACGACAAGAAGAAGCTTTCAAATGAAATGTTGCTGATGAGGCTACTTCAGTTGAGCAAGCCTTTGAAATGCAGAAAATGTATTCATTTACTGTATCTTGCTTTTCAAAATACTGATCCTTTGCTGAATTTGATAGCTTTGACCCTGTTCTTGCTGATAAATGATTGCATTATTTTGGCATGAATTTTGTAGGACAAATGCCAAAACTATTCTACAAGGATTTATTTGCCCACCATGGATAGTGCTTATTTATCTACTGTGGAAATGGGCAGTCAGGGTCAGAGGTGGAGGCTGGGGTTTGCCTAGTGGTGGAGTGAAATGGGAATAATACAGTTATGTGGTGCATAGCAGTGTAGCATAGTGGTAAGGAGCTAGGCTTGTAACCTAAAGGTTGCTGGATAGATTCCCCGCTGGGGCACTGCTGGTATACCCTTGGGCAAGGTACTTAACCCACAACTGCCCCAGTAAATATCCAGTGGTATAAATGGACAACATGCGAAAAATTAAAACTGTCTGGAAAAAAAACATCTTCTAAATGACAATAATGTAATGTAATGTATAGCAGCAAATCTAAGTTTGCAGTGTGTAACCTTAGCCATTAAGGTGTGCACGGAGTCAAGAGGTGTATGTGTAAGTGTGGCAGGTGGACTGTTCCAGCACACTTACCTGTAGAGGGCACTCATAGGCCCGGATGGAATCCTTGAGGTGTTAGGTGTTTGAGCCAGGAAATGTAAAGTCCAGATCATTAGCCTGTTGTAAACTGCTCAATGAATTTTAGTAGTCTGTCCACACTATTAGTTACCTAGCGTGTTCATGACTGTTTTAGGGGGCTGTAGTGGATAAACCTGCGCTGGGAGAGACGTGGTCAAGGGGTGACCCACAGCTTGTGACATTTGCTCCTTGGCTTTCGTCTTTTTTTTTTCTGCCCACCACCACCCCCCCTCATTAGAGGACCTATTTATTAATGCTTAAGAAGAAAGGCAATAAACAGGATCAATAATATTACTGAATTACAGCAAGTAAATGAAGGTAAAGAAACAAAAAAAACAAATGTTAATAACAGAATAAAATAAATAAAAGGAAAACAGAAACAAAAACAGAACAGAAACAAAAATTTCTTTGTCTCACCACGAGGGAGTGAATGTTCTCCATCTATCCCTCCACCCAAAACCAATGGTCAGAATTCCAACCTCTTCTCTAGTCACCGCCCTCCCCCTCTACCCAACCTGTCCCCCCCATATTTCTTTCCCCTTATCCTATTATTATTATTATTATTATTATTATTATATTTCTATATATGTACAAAACCAAACAAAAACATACATTTAAAGGCAAAAAGAACAACAAAAAGGAAAGAAATGCGTTAATCATTACTTTTTTTGATTTCCTTCTTTCATTATGCCCTAGTCCCCTCCCCTTCACAGACCATCATTACCAACCCCCTCTTACAGGGACAACTCAACCATATTTCCTGTAGCTATTCACTTCTTTACTACTTGACATATTTTGTTATATGATCCTTTCGTCCTTAATATTTATGGACGCCCACACACAGCCTTTCTTCTCCAGTCCAGCGTAACCATTATGCGCAAAAACGAAAGTTATTCACTAAAATTTGGGAGGACAGGAAATTCCTATAAATTCCTATAAAGTCCACGCCTAATCCCCTCAGACCAGTCTAAACCAAAAAATGATGTATAAAAAAGCCTACAGGCCTTTGTATCCTGTTGCATCAGCTGTTTGTGTATCCCACTTTCTCCCCTCTCTCCACCCCTTGGTCCTCGCCTCCTGTCTGCAGATCTCTTTCCCAGACCGTATTCCAGGGTCTTCTACCTGACCCTCTCCTTGCCTGGATTCAGGGTTACATTACATCACATCATTGCCATTTAGCAGATGCTCTTAGACAGAGCAACTTGCATAGATTACAAATGTATCCATTTATACCGCTGGATATTTACTGGGGCAGTTGTGGGTTAAGTACCTTGCCCAAGGGTACAGCAGCAGTGCCCCAGCGGGGAATTGATCCAGCAACCTTTAGGTTACAAGCCTAGCTCCTTGTCACTATGCTATACTGCTATACAACCGTATTATTCCCATTTCACTCCACCGCTAGGCAAACCCCAGCCTCCACCCCTGACCTTGACCGCCCCTTTCCACAGTGGATAAATAAGCACTATCCATGGTGGGCAAATAAATCCTTGTAGAATAGTCCTGGTCCTTACTACTGCACCACAGTGCTGTTCCACTGCCCCCTAACCAGAACAGGCCCCACCGAAAGAGGGGAATTAATTATGGTCATTATTCACATTCCTCATGTCCATTTACTGTTAACGTCCTTCTCATTACAGTACAGTCTGAATCATATCAGGAGATGCCATATCTGTCTGTATTTTCCTCAGAAATTAAACTCTTTACCATTAATTTTACTTTCAAGGAAAATGAGCACATCTACTGCTTAATTGGTTGTTGGCAGATACAACTATTTAAAAAAATGAGGTAATATGTTTCAGTCAATATTTATGTATTTTCGTCGAAAGATTAAGCATCGATGCAAAGGAATTCCGTTGCTTTCGTCCAAATGTAATAAGTTCCTGGCTGTGTTCCTGAATGTGATACGGGCAAAATTAAATTTAATATGCGATTTCCCTGGAGCCACCTACTCTCAAATGTTGCCCTGTCTCAGGGCATATGGTATTCTCACCTTCCTTCCCTTCTACATTTAGGCATCATATTTCTCTTGTAATGATTCATTCAATTCAGTCATGCAGAAAAAGGGCACATCTACATCCTTTTTTTTTCCAATAACTTTTACCAGAGAAATTGAGCCACTTTTTGTAAGTGAAGTATATTTTTGTCAATCAGGATATTCTGAATCTAACAAGAATGTACTGCTTTCGATTCACTGGTCAATCTAAAATGCAACAGAACAGGTCCCATTGGGATACAGAGTGACAGCAAATCCGCCAAACCAAAGGATCGTCTCAGGCCTTTGCCATCACATTTGTAAAGATCCAATTTCTAATGCTTTAATGCTTTAAATTAATTAATGGTCATACCTACCTCTGATAAAAATACTTTAACTTAACTCAACGGGAGACTAAATTTTTATGAGTTTTATGAGATATGAGGTATGGCAACTACAGCCAATTTTTTGATCAGCCTTTTTATTGATCACTGAAAAGATCAAAAAGATTTAAAAAAACTTCCAGTAAGGAGGGAAAACTACCCTTTCTTTCCTTTTTAAAGATTTCTGAAACTAATTAAAGGCTTCATTATAATGAGCTGTTCTTTGGAAAGCCATCAGAAGAAAAAAGCTTACGTCACTTAAATTGTTTCCAATTTGCACTCTTAGATTACTTTTTTTAGTTTTCTTAGTTTATCTACATTTTTGTGAAATTTGAATTTACACCTGCAAATGCATAATATATGGGTTTGGTGTTTTCCAAGAAATACGAAAGTTGATTTCATCTGTGCTCCTCAAGCAAAGCATCTGAATCCAATACGAATAATAAAATGTTCCTCTTTCATATCTGAATCATAGGTATTACTTTTGTTGTAAGACCCCCTGCCACTCTCTGCATGGCCAATTGACGCTGCCTAATCTGATTGCATTTTGAAACTTTAAAACTTTGTTTTATTTGTTTGGATACCTTTCCACACGCTTGTTCCTGTTATGAATCGCAATTGCACAGCCCTTTTTCTGCCAGATTGCTTACCTTTCTGACCTAGGCATTTACAGAGAGTTGGATCTCAACTGATGCCCAAAGAATCAACAGATAATAGCAGACAAGTACAGGTACACCTGTTTAGAGAAAAAAAAACTTGACAAGTTGCCTTGGTGCTCAATCCATGACTGTTTTCAAGGATTCTCATGCCAAATTTCTGAGAGGCAGATGTTTCCAATACACTCCGTGTGAATCCAACACAATTTATGGCACCTCTGAAGTATTCCTTGCCAAATACCCAAATATGGCCACAATGAGGGAAAGTTTCAAAGGGACACAATAAAAATATGTCAACAGCATGTGTCATGCATTTATTGTTTTCTATTTGCACGTATTTGTCGGGTTTTGGTGAACCTGTTCAATCTTTTTTCTACAGATGTACACTGAGAAGTTTTCTGACACCCACCGTGTCCAAAATTCTATTAAAAAAAGAGGTAGTCATTTTCAGACTCAGGTCAGTGAAGTATCACCTGTTTATTTTCTTTCGCTGATTTCCTCTTTCTTCAAATTGCGCAGTGGGAAATAGGGAAACAGTGAAGCCAATTTGTTGCCTGTCTGAGGATGTGAACTCTGAATGCTCTTTATTATTGAACACCATTTATCTATGTGCCCTAATTTTTTATCACAGAGGAACCGTGCAGGCATTTGGGATTGGAAATTAAGAGCAACCATATTTGCCTATTTGGGTCTTAACAGTAGGCAGTACATTTTTGTTTAGCAGAAGCTCTTGCCCAGACATACAATTTACATGTTATTCCTGTATAAAGCTGGACCTTTAATGAGGCCATCTGTGTAAAATACCCTGACCACAGGTAAAACAGCAGTGACCCACCCAGGAATCAAACTTGCAGCTCTGTGCTTTACCACTATGGCACACTTCTTCCCCATAACTTTTCACAATAAGATAAGACATGGGGTTGTAATCTTGGCAAAAAACTGAACACAAATTGTGAAAAGGTATTTGTCAAAACCCCGCAGAATAGCCCAAGGAGACCTCAAACCAAATCAAGATCCAGGCAACCTAGTGAGAAAGGTGCACCCTGCATGAGTTAGCAAAACAGACATTAGCCTAGCTAATTATCCTTACCAATCTGGCTCAAGTTCAGATAGGCAGTGTCAACACATTCCCATCTAATCAGTGATGCCACATTATCATCCTTCCTCCCTATTTCACATCCCTTTCCTTTTCACCCTCAAATCCGCCACAAGAAATTCCCATAATCTGTTACCAAAATATCTGTCACAGATCCGGTGGCCATGAGCTTGTACCCTTGGAGGCTTGCCATCCTTAACCATTTTATGTTTATGAATCGGCCTTCATTGTAAGTTAAATGCCACCCAGAAGCGTGCCATGAAAGTGAATCGCAAAGGGCAGGAAGATGCCTGTCCTGTCTGTAATGGAATTCAAAATAATATTTTAAGTGGCATTTTGGGCGTATTAGCATAGGATCTGTAAAGGGTACCAGGTTTTCTTGGTCTTTTTGTTTTGCCATGCAGATGCCATAAGGTACATTACTTCAACAACAAGACCAAGTTCCATTGTGCAACTAAAGTTCCAATGTTCAGTCTGATCTGTTCAAATCTGGCCCTTAAATTGTAAGTAATTATTCTTGGCAGCTTTTTCATAAAAAAGACACTTTTGCTGTTGTAGCTTAAAAAACCCATATAGCTCATAGCATCCACTGCAACTT